ATTGCAGCCTGGTTACTGTAGTAATCCATAGGCCTGAATGCTACAAAATATGTGACCAGACTGCAAGCTAATACACATCTTGTTCAAGTTTTGATAATAATTACTGAAGCTATCTCAGCTCCACCAAGCCATATGCTTACTCGCAGGAGCAAAACCATTAGGCCAAGCAAGATGCTTGCATTTAATTTAAATATTGCAAAGATATGACAATTTAAAATCAGATAGGTCAGCACTTCCACTCAAGTATGCTTTAATAAATATGCACTTAGGATTGTAAAACAATTATTCTATTAACTGTTGATGCATATTTACATGAGCTGCTGAGTCTTCAGCAAACCTACACATTTAGTGATAAAACATCCTTGCTGTGCCAGCAGAATATAACAGACAGTGATGCTATATTGGCTCTGTGTTTGGTAGATCCCAAGCTTAACAATCATTTGCTGGTGGACCAAATCTTAGAACGACATCACTCCATTGCTTAAAGAGCTTGCAAATGAAATTAAAGTATGTTTCAGCTTTTCATATAATTTTATCCAGCCAGCTACAAATGTTTAAATGTGGATGAAGGGGGGGGGCAGGACAAATTTCCATTCAACAAGCCCTTTCAGGTGTTCAATAAACAGGGAGAGTGGGGGACATGCCATCCTCACTCTCAGTGTCTCCTACATTTATCCAAAGATCTGAACAATAATATGCACATGGACTCTGCATGTTCAAATAGAAATACAAGTGAGATTCTCCCAGTTGCTCAGGGAGAATCAATGTGCATATGCAGCATAATTGTATGTGCATAGCTCTACTGGGGTCTCTGAATCTTAATCAAGGATCTTGCTTTGTCTTATCCATGGCTTTCAAACGTCTACATGGAGCTACTGTGTTTGATCATAGGCTGTCTGCTACCCAAATTGTTGGAAACTTCCTGGAGTATGGCAGACCCCACTGCCCCCGCAAAAAAATATGTGCCTACTTTTAGAAGAAAGGAACAAAGAATACAACTTCACTTTCAGTGGTGTTCATTTAGTCAGATATAATCAAATCCATTACCTAGAATAAATTAGATTGGCAGAATATATGTGAGACCGTGTGTGTACAAATCTGACACGTAGAAGCTGAGAAATACTTCGTTATTTGGAATACAGCCGATTGTTCTCCTTTGTAGAAATTACAAGAACACTTTCCTCCTCATGTATGTTTTTATTCTGTTTTATAGGTTTCTTTTTGTTTACCGTACATATGAGAATAGATATTCTTGCAATAAAGTTTACATTTACAAGAACAAAACACAACAATGATAAAAGGATATGAATTTGTTCAATATAATAAAGATATAATCAAGGCCTAATAAGTACAACATAACAGATAATGTAGAATTATTATACACGTTATAATGTTGGAATATGCAACTGGAAGTCCTGAGACCAAATCTGTGCCTGCTGAGGAGTACCAGTCCTCTTCCTCCATTGCTATGTATTCTCGTCTTCAAAGTGACCATCTTCTAAAAATACCTGCTAGTTAGGTCTATAGTGTAAGCAAACACATTTGCATGATAAGGTGTTCCCTGTTTTCTTACATTACCATTTATGCAGAATGATGAATATTGAGAATAATTTTGGAAACCTGTTAGATTTATGTTGAAAATACTTCATTTACAGAGCTATAGTGTTTGGGGTACAGTTATTGTCTCCTATTTCTAGGGAGAGCCAAATGTCTACCTTTCAGACTTCTCTAGTTATCAGTGTGTATTGTACGTGTATAGGAACTTTTATCTTTCTGAAGGGCTTGGGAGGTATGATATCTAGGGCCAGATTAAGACATGCTGAGGCCCTAAGCTATGTCAAGTTTTAGAAGCCCCATAGTATTACCCCCCTCCCCATCCTAAAAGAGCATTATTATGTAAAACCTACTGCTGGTGAGGTTGTATTTAGAGGCCCCTCATCGTCTGAGCCCTTGAGCTGTAGTTTACCTAGCCTATGCGAAAATTTGGCACTGATGGTTACCATTTCAAAATTATATTAGGAGTCTCCTAGTTCAGGAAATTGTTGCATAAATGTCTCCCCTTCAGACTTTTACAGAAATAAGGGTATATTAGACTATGTATGTACAAAGCTTCAGCTTCCTAGCTCATGGAGTAAATGCCATAAATGTTTCAGTGTACACTTGAGTTCCCTTCACACATTACATGGTGTAAAGGAAGTCCAGAAACAGAGCAAGAAGTGGGGTCACACTGCTGTTCTAGCCCAAGAATATGATGTCAGAAGTGAGGCCAGAAGCACTGCCACACTTCTTTACATCATGAGTGCCCTACACTTTTATCCCATCTGTTCTAGGAGACAGGTGCACAATTGTCTCCCTCTCAGATTTTTAGCATCATCAGTGGTGTCTTGGGCTATATGCTTGCAACAAGGAATTTCCCCCAGGGAGAAATCTCTCTAACCAGTTCAGGGATTTGAAGGGAGGGAGGATATATGTTAGTCATTCCTGTTCTCATGGGCTGCAGCTGCAGCCCTTTACATCTTGAGTAGGAAGATCTGAAGGGGGAAGCTTTAGTGTGTTGTATTGTCAACCCTTAGAATCCTCCATGTGAATGGATCCCCCAACCATGCAGGATTCCCATTCATGTGAAAGATTTCGAGCATGTTCCACTTAACACAACAAGATATCCTGTTCAGACCTACAGTACTTTTCAATACGTTGTAGCAGGGAAGGGAACAATGGAGGAGGGTGTTCTGGGGACCTATGGAAGTGAACACCTGAGTAGGGTTTCTGAGTTTAATGTTTTGGGGGAGAAAGGCATCAGTGTCCTTTATACTTGTCTAATAAACAAGAAGTCTTGGATCATTTACCAAATTCCAGGGTTCTTTCTATCAGACTGGGAAATATCCTAGCATTTTCAGTACTTCAGTCTGCCAATCGGTGAAGCCCAGGCAAATATAGATTCATCTGAGGCTATCAATCAATAATGTAGCTTAGCCATGCATCAGAACTAAAGCAATGATAATCTATAACACTCTTTGACACTTGGGAAAGATTTTGCTTATTGCTGTATGAATATTCCACTTCATTAAATAATGTGTCTGCATTTTTTCCCTGTTGAGTATTCAGAACCAATACACTTTGTTAAGAAGGTCCTTTATGCTCCCCTAGTCAGAGGCACACATACACATGTAAACAGATGTGCTTTGCCCATTTGGGATTTTCTTGTGAGTGCTTTTCATTCTGTCACACCCAGACAGGAAGTTTCTTATTTATTTTCCCCCTCGGTGGAACGTTGTGTGACTAAATTGTTTACCTGGAACTACACAAAACTTAGGCCTTATAATTTTTCTCTTGCTGGTGCCATTTGCAACATGTACCAAATGTTTTTCAAGGTGAGAAAAACCACAGCAGAAGGTTAACAGAGTGCAAAAAAAAAAAAAATCCTCTGTTCTCCAGTGCTCTTTGCCAGACTTGGTGACCTGAGGTGTATTTAGCCAGTTGTCCCATATTCTGGACAAGGTTCTACAACATGGTTTTGGAGTCTATAATTCAGCCACATTCTGCTGATAGTAACCAAATAGCACAAATAACTTTTCCACATGTTAATCACACAAACCTTCACAGGGTCACTATTTCTGTATCACCCATTTGTATCACCAAACAGCATTAAATCTCTAGTGAAGTGCCCCTAAGTATGCTGTTCCTATAGCAGGTTTTTCATATCCCCATTCATACCACAGTGCATCTAGCTGGCAAATATTATTCAGAATAGAAACCCGCTCAAAAATATGTATTTAGATAGCCATGCCTTTAATAGACCCTTCAGACAAGGGTTGGTTCCAGTGCCAGATTTATGTATAGGCTAAGTAGGCTGAAGCCTAGGGCCTCTAAGTCTAGGGGGCCTCACCAACCTGCCCTCTCCCCAGTGCCACAGTCTCCCCTCTCCCCAAATTGCAAACTGAAGACTTCATGCAAGGGCAGGGCAACTCAGGCTATGAGACTCAGGGCTAGCCAGTGGGGCCCAATCTGAAGCAGTGGGGCACAACTTGATTATTTATTTATTTTTTGGTAGGGCCCCAGTTCACAGCCAAAGTCTGCAAAATCTTATAGATATAAATAAAATCCATCTAGATTGCCCTGGTGCAGGGGCCCCCTTAGGAGCGGCCTGCGGGGCCCAATTTGGCCCAATTGCTCCAATTGCCTTAAGGTCAGCCTTGATGAGACTGTGCAGGGGTTGGACTGACAAGCCCTGCACCTTCTAGGTCCCTGGTGTCACCATTCAGTGTACTGCTGTGCAGATAATGGAGAAAGCTCATAAATTGTATCCCTTCTGGCATCCTGGCCAACTCTATTATGCTGGTGTAAACCCTGATGCACCAGAAGCCCAGAATAGCAGCAAATAAAATCCGCTCATACGTCAGCAACTGATAAGACTTGTCAAGCAGTTCTTCCAAACTCTTCCTAAATTATAAAGCTCCAAAATACAGGCCAAAAGAGAACAGGTCTGGGAAAAGTAAGGCATACAATGGGCACCACCAGTGAAAAGGCCCTGCTCCATGTAACTCCTGCCCTGTCATTTGATAGAGTGCCCACTTGCCCTCCTTCTTGACATGGATGCTCTCTATTGGAGTGTCCCGGTCCAGTACAAAGACCATAAGAAGGGAGAGCAGGGACCTTGAAGTTCCCAACAGTTGTTAATCAAGCAAGCAAGCACACAGGTCACCTTTGTCACAGTCAGGACATATGTCCTGTCCAAGCCTGCACCCAATCTTGTTTTTGTACAATCTTGTTTGTTCTCAGTAACCATAATTATATTATCAACATATACAAACAGAAAAGTTGTTTTCCTTCTTTTGCAACGAATCGTAGAAAACAAAGTGGCACTAATAAAGAAAAGTTGCAGGGTGGCAACAGAAAGCAAACTAAAAATGCTTTTGCAGTTCATCAAAACTATCCAGCAATATCAAGTTATAGGAAAACTGGTGCTATTAACAGTAATCCTTCTGGCTGGTTAATTGGTTTGGCAACTTCCATGCACATGACGTGTGATAATTTTTCTGAGAAAAATTATAATTTTTTTATCAGAAGTCTTTTTGTTGTATCTTTCTCCTGGAGTTTGGCCAGACATAGCAAAGTCTTTGTTACAAATACTTCTTTGTTGGATCCAGTTTCTGTAGGAGGAAGACATTGGGTAGAGATTTATAAGGTATTTTATCAAAGTTTCAGGCATCCAAGACTCTGTGCAAGTAATAATTGGACTTTGAAGGCTTGCATCCAGAATAGTCTTGAAGATGATAGGCAGTTAGAGAGGCTGTGAGATGTTCATGAATTCAGTCTGACAGGACATTGTTAGGCCAAATCTATATCACTATGTTCCTATATTTCACCTATAAAAATAGAACAGGGCAAGATGAACCAAAGCAGATTGCCTAAGGACCAATGCCACCTATAATTGTTTGCTTACCTTTTTTAGAGAGCAGCAGAGATTGGAGTCATTTTCTTCTGTTAGCTAATAGAGTAAGTATCAGTCCACTATGGAAGCTTCATAACCATAACAAAAAAGTATTCTAACTGAGTCCAATACAGCAGTTCAGGGTGGCATAAAGGTAACATGCAGAATCAACATAGGTTTCAAGGCAGAGTTTCATTTGTTTTCGCTGCCACTATTTAATTGAACTGGAATATAGATATTTATGTTTAGCTTGTATTTCTAATGTCTGAAGCATCTTTTGAAGGATAGACTCTCTTCTGGGTCTTTCAAAACAACTGATGAGCAGTTAGACAAAAGCTACTGAAATGTCCAGGATTTTTGGGGTTTCTAAGCTTTGTTGAGTAATCATGCTGATTTTTGCTGTTTGGCTAGCAATATTTTATCAGGGGCATTTGACTGATAATCCATAAATGTCATAAGTTTTTATAGAATCCTTTTAGGTTTACAAGTGGAACTTATGAATGAACAAAGCCAAGATTGCTGAATCTGTTACACTTTTCTGTCTCTGTGCTGTGCATACAGCCAAGGCTTTATTATCAACACTATCTTCTCCAGTGTCTGTGAAGAGTATTCAATTACATCTCAGTATCTTGGGTTAACTTACACAGCTTCTCTCATTGCAATGAGTTTTTCTTATATTTTTAAATAAAGTATCTTTGCTCACTTGGCCAGCCAGTCAAGAGCAAAACAGAACCTTGAAAAGAATATTAAAGTATCTGGTTCATTTAATTCAATTTGATGTAGAGGTGTCTTTGTTGAGTTAGCTGGTCCTGATGGCTAAGAAAATTCTTTACTGGCAATAACTGAGTTGGGATCAACTATTATTCAAGAACAATACTTGTTCAAGAAATAGTTTTCCACATCCTTAACAACATTGTTTGGTTCTTGCATTAGATGGAAAAACATACTGAGAGCATCATTTCCAACAGCATCTCAGGATACTTTAGGTTATTGCAGGCATTTTCCTTGTTCCTACCTTTGGCTTCAGCATTAGAATCAATGACATTGATTTCTCTGTGATGACTTCCTGGATAAAAGCATGCAGTGCACTTTCTCCATAATTAGCACCAAATCTCCTTGTGGCTTTCTTCCTGTTCCTGGTCAGGCAACTCCAGCGAAGCCACATTATGGTTTTCTACTACTTCTTTCTTTGGAGCTTGCACCACACAAAAGACAACGGCAGAAAAAGTCCATAGCTTCAGGCTGTATTGCCTCTCCTGTGAAATCTCTGTGGTCTTCTCAGGTGGGGTGACTGTCTCCCCACATACTTCCTTCCCCATGTATGCAGTCTTAGATTTGTAAAGGGAACCTGGAGGGATTTTGAGGCAATGGGAGTGATGACACAAATGCAGTAGACCCTTTTCTCTTCCTCCTCCTCCAACTTCACACAAAAGAGATGAGATCCAGTCACAAAGATTACCCTCCATGCAATTGATTAATACCTTATTAAAATGGATTGTGTATTGTGGTTTTAAAAAATATCTTGAATTCTTCCTTGAATAGTAAGACTGCTGGTCTTCTTTGTCTGCAGAACAAAAATTATGATGATAGTTTTAGTCTTGCCTAAAATAAACTAAAATATCAATTCATTAGTCTTCTTTGGTGTGAAGACTATTTACCCCTTATGAACTTACAATATTCCAGCAATATTATAAGGGTGCATAACAGAAGTACTTCAAAAGACATAGGGACAATGATATAATATACTGTTATGATCTTGTGAATATCACATTCCAAAATATAAATATGCTTTCTAAAAGGATAGGTGGCAAAGTATAATAATAATAAAAAAGGATTATGCTCTGTAGTACTTAACATTTCAGAGTAGAATCATAGAATGGTAGAGTTGGAAGAGTGATGATCATCTAGTTCAGGCCCGTGCAATGCAGGAATAGTAGCATGAGTAAGGGCTCTGCTCTGTAGTTGAGTGAACCAATGTAACAATTTTCCACTTTGTTAGAATCACTTAATTATGGGAACCAATAACTGAGCATAAACCTCAGAATATTTCATAAATATTATTTCTACTATGATTCACTGTACTGTATTGTGGGTGGGATTTGCATTTCTATATAAGAAGCAATTTTTGAAACACTCTTAAAATCTTGAGCAAAATCCTTTCCCTACAAAAATCCTGTCATCCTTTTCAAAAGTGCTGAATCCTACTATTTTTGAAAAATAAATATTTCCTGGAGGAAGTTGTATTTCATGTTAAAATACTGCACTGATGTTTAGTAGAATTAGGTGCTCCTGTAGGAACAAAATGTCACCCGACCTCAAGAAAGCAAACTAACAGCTCTCAACTAGATTAAATATCTAGGCAGGAATTTTAGGCTTGAAAGCTACCTAGGAATAAACACCATTGAATACAGTAGGACTGTGGACAGCGAGTAAATAAACAACCACACACAATGCACTATTAAATAAAGTATGTCAGAAAAACTTGTGTGACCTTTCACTTTTAGAAAGAGGCAGGGTGAAGTAGGAAAGTTGAATTAGGAGAGATTACAGTACATTATACCCTGGTTATTAGAGAGTCTCATGTTTGTTTTAGGAAAGAGAAGCAATGCTACTGAAGCAACAGATCTTCCACCAAAAAAATCCCTGTATCTGTGTTAACATTTTTATCTTTCATAAAGCCATCATTTCAAAATTGGTCCGTGGTTAATAGAGTTACCGAATCACTGCTACACAAATTATCAAATAAAAACAAGTGTTCCTGTTTCTCCTAGCTTCCATTGTAAAATTAAGAGTGAAGTCTAATAGAACAGTTTGTGTTCATGAATGACTCCAAGAGGAATCAGTTTGGATGCAAACACTGAACTAATGGATGCAAATGACTCTCCCACATATCTTGCTCCTGAATGATCACATTATCCATAACTGCTTGTGCATCTAACTAAAGCTTGTGAGTGTTGTAGAGCTGTTTACCAAGATTCACACAAAGCATTTTCAAATATATGCATTGCATTATTTTTTGATTGCAAAATGTCACTGTGTAGACCTGAAAATATCTGCACCAGCATTACATTATATCAGGGGTCGGCAACCTAAGGCCCATGGGCTGGTAGCGGCCCACAAGGCTTGTCTAACCAGCCCATGGCGACCCCCACTGCCCCCCGCCGCCCCTGCCCCCCACTCTTACCAGCGTGGCATGGTGTGGTGTGGTGCAGGGACAGACTTCTGGGTTGATGGCGCCTGTGTGCATGCACACAGGCACTCCTCCAACCCAGATGTACGCCGGAAATAGCGTGTGTGCATGCGCACTCCTCCGACCCAGAAGAGCGTGCGCGCACACACACACACGCTTCAGCCCATCCTCTGATGGACAGAGCATCGACTGGCCCATCCTCGGATAAGGTTGTCAACCTCTGCATTATATCAACAGGCTGGACTTCTTTTGGTTATTACTTCCACCACACAAGTGCTGAATTGACTAGGCGGCATCATATTGCCTGCAATAACTGAATGAGGAAAATCCCAGAGCAGTCATGATGTGGATTATAAGGCCATCAAATGAAAATCAAAGCTGTCGATATAAATTGCTAATGTCCTCACAAGAAAAACTGACTTTCCTCCATTTACTTTCCATGCTGTGATTTATGAATTGGACATGCAGAAAATGTACAATAAGTTTTTTATAAAAAGAATTCCATCCTTAATTCTGTAAAAATTAAAAGCTGATACAACTCTAATGATATATTGACTAACTGAGTAAGTGCAATGTAAGACTGCCACTCGATAATTAATGGTTCAATAGTAAACATGTTATCAATGGGAACTCCTCTTATATGCTGGCTGCAAACTATGGCCTTCAATTATTCTTCCGTTTCAAATTTTCATGCCAAAAATGTGTTGTCGTCAAAGACAAGAGGTGGTATTCAAGTTTTACTCAGTGTAGACCTACTGAAATTATTAAACCTAATTCAGTAATATTCATTAATTTCTGTGGGTGTATTCTGAGTAATGCTTGTTGAATACCACCCAGGGGAAATTAAAATAGAGATGCCAAGTGATTTGGTCAAGGTCAAACCAAAGGAAGAGGAAAGATCTCAAACAGGTGCTCAAAAAAATTGTAGACCTGGTATGTAATATGGCCAATGCATTTTGGCTTCTAGTATTTTCAGGGGTAACATTAATTTTGCAATGCCTTGTTCCAGTGGCAACTCTGATCTGATAAAACATCATTTGAAAAAGCATATGAAGAATGAACAGCTTGAGAAATTTCCATTGGAAAAAAGTGTGAGAGTGTAAGCTGAATATGGGTGCAATTGGCGTAATATACCCCATAATCAACTTCCAATTTTAAGAACACCAATTTAAGGTGTTCTTGCCTCTTCTTCTTATTTTCCTATTCTTTGGACCAACTCCTATTTTCTTTTTTTTGCTTGTTAAAGCCACCCAATGTTATATTTTATTTATTTATAATATTTATGAATTGATCTTCCTCCAAAGGACCTTAGGGCAATGTACAAAACACAAAAAGAAAATCTATCAGCCATCAGTTAAAAATATTGAAACCCAGTGCCCTATCTACCTATTTTAATTGTCTATTTCTAACATTCTGGAAATGCAACCTAAAAAGTAACCCGGGTTTCAATGTCTTGTTTAGTCTGAATAAAGACTAAAAGAATTCATCAGAGGAGTGTAATTCATTCTACTTATGTTTGATTTAAAAAAAAAAATCAAAATCCATTAGCATTGTATATAAAATATTGTGTCTACCGACATCTCAGTAACAGTGCGATGAATCTTTCCCACAGTAAATCAAAACAACATACAGAGGCAAGGACCATTTAATTTGACGTCCATAATTAGCAAGCAAAACAGTTTCCTTGAGCCTGTACCTGGAACTTTACAAAACAGTTTCTGTGCATTTGCTTGCAGATACAATTTTTCTTGAACTGTGCGTGTACTCATGCAGATGTGAAAGTTGTTGTTCACCCAACCAAATCATGTGTGTGTTTGTCTATGACAACTTGCATGAAGTAGCCTGCTTGTATAATCTACATCAGTTTGTGCAACTTGTTTTTATGAGGGGAAAGAAGTTCCTCATGTGCAAAAACTGTTTGGAAAAACAAGGGCACTTAAGGCATTCTACAGACTTTCCCTAGATTTCTGAGAGCATAGTGATTGTAACACAAACAGAATAGTGTGCAGAAATAAAGGGAGAGGTTTTCTACATCTCTAACAGCGCTTGCCCATTATCACTTCAAGCAGGAATGTACCCCTGGTAAACATTTAGTGTCGCAAATCTATCTAGTTTGGCATGCCCCATTAAGTCCTTGAAGCCCTCACTGTGTTTTAGACCCTCTGTAGCCATCATTGGCATAAAAATCAGTGACTGTAATGGAAAACAAGACGTCTTTCAAACATTGTGTCTCTTGGCAAAGCAAAGCCAATTAAAGCCAATTTATAAAATTGTAAATCTTTTCCTACATGGGATAGTGAGTCAGACCTCTTGTATTCAAATCAAGGGGTCCTTTGGAATAGGCCATCCCAAATGTTTTCTCAATTCTGTTGCAATTCCTTAGGCTGCCAGTCAGTTGAGAATGTGATAAATAAATACGACCTGCAGCATCTAAAATAAACTAATGTTGATTGATACGTCCTTGAGAGAACCACTTCTGTTCTTCTATCAGTCACAAGACTGTTGGAATTGTCCTAAAAGAAGTGGATGGAGGAGAAATTTGAGGTATTTATTGCATGAGGATTTTGTTTGTTTGATTCATATCCTGCCCTTCATTACATGTGATCTTTGGGCAAGTCACAGCAATTAAATACACAATATGTAATTATACACAGAGAGAATGATGCTGTTGTTGACTAATGACAAAAGGAAGCATCCCCCAGGACCAGGGGAAAGTGTACAAGATGGGCACACCATACTGTCTCTTGCACACACGGCACACAAACATCGCTCCTTCTCTCATAGACCTCAAAGATATGCCTTCCTTCCCCACCCCTACCCCTTACAGACTACTAGGGCCAAGCAATATCTGGTTTTCAACATTGTGATATATCACCAGCTTAACATTGCAATATACCAATATATTACAATGCCTGAAATAACGATAGAGCTGTGTAGTGGCTTTGGCTGGCTTTATGGCTTTTCCTGTATCGTGATTTTTTGCCAGCACCTACTCTTGTGATTTGCTGCCCCTTGCATGAGGCAGGGGTAAGCTGAGCTGGCAGAGTTAACATGGGCTGCAGGAATCGAGAGAAGCATCAACTGGCTTCATGGTTTTTCCCCACCCCATTGTGATTTTTGTGTAGCCCATGCACACAGACACATCACGATATATTGCCAGGTCGAAAATTGTGAAACTGTTATCACGATATGGACTTCAAAGCGGTTTTGGATGATATATTGATATATCACCCAGCCCTAAAGTCTTTCTCTGCCCAATTGCATCTCTCCCTCTGACAGATGACACATGCACACAGACCCCACATACATTGTTCTGTCTCTCTCTGGCTAAGCACTTCTCTCTTAATCACAGAGCATACTTGAGCACTCCAATTCAGATAAGCCCCTCCATGGATGTCAGGAATACACAAAGGTCACCAACCTCTCCCTCCTCTTTGTGGAATGTTGATCAGCGCTATAATCAATTTTCTGTCCAGGACTACACATCCATTATCCCAACTATTTTATACACATGCCATTGGATCAGGGCACTTAGCAAAGTGGGCAAAATCATTGCACTCTATTGGCTGCCAGCTGCAGCTTTCTAAGTTTTCCTAGTACCAAATATATTAAGTAGACAGGCTTCTACTGCTGCAGCCAGTTCCCCAGAGGTTGAAATGGAATTCACATTGCCTCAAGACTTCCCTCTGTAATTTTTGCTCTGTGCCCAGCTGCTGTGAGTTATAGTGATTACTGCCAGTGCAGCAATGCTGCCAGTATCCTCCTGCAGCAGTACAACATCATAGATTGCCTCGGGATGCCATTGCAGTGTACAGGCCATGGCATCCGACTGCAAACAGCCTTTGCTGTATTTGCAAGATCAGCAGCTCATGTTAGCCTGCAAAACAGCTGGGAGCGAATGCAGACATAGTCTGTAAAATCTGGACTAGAATAAGATTCTGACGGAGCTTCTTTGCCTCCAAATTTAACGAGGCTTTGATCTGTAGCTTTGCTCTGCACCCTAAGTGCAGATACTCCCTAAGTTTTGATGCAGATTGTATTGGCCTTGTTCTTTTTTATCGGCTGAATCTATTCTGGCCACAATAAATTATTTCCAAGCACATTTGAAAAGGACAGTGAATGCCTAGTTATGAAAATGATGCCTCTAGAGAAGATGACAGGCTGAACCTTCTGCATCAGAGCCCTTGCATTTTGTGTCCTCTTATCTATTTCGGGTCTTCATTTGCCTAATTACTACTCTGAGGCTGGCAGAGATTTCCCCTGCAGCGCTCAGCAGCTCTGCTGACTGCAGAGACCCTACCTGGCACACAATTTAGTGCGTCAGCATTCTAGATAGAAATGAATGAAAAATCAATCAGGGCAACTGCAGTGGCAGCACATGCAACTCTAACCTACTTTGGGCATGGTTTTCAACATTTCACTGTAGACTCTAAAATGGTAAGTGTACCTGAAATAAAGTATGCCTTTATTGGTCAGTCTCTATGCTCCTTAGGTTTGATGAAGACATTACACCCTATGCTAGTGTGTGTGTGTGTGTGTGTGTGTGTGTGTGTGTGTGTGTGTGCAATACATACTATATCGGAGAGATATAGAACATGATTGTTTAAAGAAAATAAATAGAATAAATTCAACAAACCAAAGTCCACTATGCATTTAAGAATCACAACCATTGCTTATTTTAGCATCTGGAGAATATGATTGCGTTATTTCAGTTCTTCTTATACTTTTAATGGACAAAATTATTCAACTGCAAGCATATTTCAATTAAGCATCAGTTAATAGTCTCTGCAGCTAACTCTCTAATAAGAGGATTAACTTTAAAATGCTGCTTGAAAAGTCACTCACTGCTAACTTTTCAAGCACAGTGGGTTAAATTTTCATAGAGCAATGAGAAAATGATGGGCTGTAACAAGTTGTGCATTGCATCACTGTTAAGCTTTCCAAATTTCACCAGCTTCTTTGTATGTGGTACTCTTACAGTAAAGAAGATTCCTGAGCTATAAAAGATGAAGAGTCTACTTTTCCTGGTGTTGATTTCTTTCTGCTGGGCTGATCATCATGCTGCCAACTTCACACTGGAGCATGACAGAATTATTCACATCCACGGTAAGTTAAAAAAGGAATTTAAGCTGCACTTGTGATGTTATGCTGAAATTTTATGACTTGCATCTTTTTTTAAAAAAGAAAAGGATTAGATAGCTTGCTGCTGTGCTGCATTATTGTACTCTGAGCAATGAAACCTGCTTTTAAATCTGAAATGCATTTTTTTCAGTGTGCGTTCTAATGACTATTTCTGAGACAGAAACAGTATTTGTTAAAATAAGAGTGCATGCATATTGAAAGAAGCAAGCAAGCAATTAGTTTAGCCAGAAAAGTATTGGCCTTACTGCAGAAAAAATATGATCTAAAACACATCATATAAGCAAAGACTTCCCTTTCACAGGTAAATGACTGGTTATTAAGACACTGTATTGAAAAATGAGGCATCAGTTGAAAACTCAAGCAGTATAAAAAGTGACTTACCTCAACAAATAGATGCTTTTTTCCCATAGCTTTCACTCATATACAGTGGTATGTTGTCCCTCTGCATAATCGTGTATATCCATTTGAATTCTAAAGCTTACAGCTGGCTGTATGAAGCTTTGAGGCTGCAGTGCAATGCAGCTGTTTTTCAGCTCCAGTTTTAGCAGTTGAGGGTCATCCTGTATGAAGCAAGCCAAAACATTTATTTATGCAAAAATGACAGGCAGAATAAAATACATCTATGGCTTCTTTCATTTGTATACATCCAATTTTGACAACTTAAATAATGCAGCCCATGGGTGCCATTTAAAGTTTGGAGGTTCCATGCTACTTAAAAAACAACAACCAAAAAATCCCCACAGTGTTTGCATTTTTTATAAACACGCACCACACTACATTTTGACACCAAGAAGGGTTTAGCATTTGCAGTTCTCTCAGTTAAGATTTCAGGAGCTGAGAGTCTCCAGGCACCAGGCACTATCTTCAAGGTCAAAAAAGAAATTGCACCGGATTGGTGTGGTAATGGAAAGTGACACTGGAAAGGAGTGCAAGATGAGTGGTTAAAAGAAGGTGTAAATCAAAATACAAAAGCAATGGCCTTTTTAGTGTGTATTAACTGGTTCATTCTGAAGAATTTAGCTCTTTCCTTTGCAGGTGTTGTCTAGTTGATAATATTTCTTTTTGGACCATAACTTCATATCAGCACGTGCCTCTTGAGCAAAGGAAACTTTCTAAACACTTTATGTATAACATATTTTTAAATATGTTGCTTTTAATTTGTTAGTGTAGATGTGTTACTTATACCTCAGAGCATGTCCTCACTGTGAACTTAAACCACGACCTTCTCTGAAGGAATTAGGGAAGAGGGATGTAATAAAAGGCTTTGCAAGTGACAGCACCTCTATTTTAATTCTATCAGGCAACCTTGTTGCCTCTTTGTAACGTCCCTTTCAAGCAGCAAACTACTGCTGAACCCTTGGTTAGTAATAAAGCACAAAAGGGCTGCTTCTGAAGGAAACCTACAGCAGTTGGAATTTACAGTATCTGGTAGTATTCCCAGTGACAATGCACAGGTTCAAATGCAGAACTTTCAGCATGTCCATAAAACTTTAGTTCTCACACTATTCAGCCCCAATCCTGTGGCTCAGTCTATATCCTTCCTCCATACAAAGGGCTTCTGAAAAAAAAACAGAGTGGTAGACTTACTAACTTTACTTTTTTATGATTAACTGTTCATGGCTTTCTTGTACACATTGCTAACATTTTAAGCTGCCCACTGACTAACACAGAGGTTCAGCTAAATAAAAGAATCTATTAGGAGAACATTGTGGCCTACCAGGATTCTCAGTTACTGGTCTTTAAGATAACCAAACTTGAATAAGCACATTTCAAAGGAAGACACCAGTGTGAAGCCACTGAAATCCAATTCATCAAGAATACCAGGCACTATGGGTCTAAACAGAAACAATGGTTTCCTGTCCATCAATGTTAATTAACAACATTGTTAAGCAGATCGTGTTATTACTTATCGTTGCTGTTGTGAAGGGACACGTCTTTATTTTAATTGAATTGAATGGACACTGTGTGACATTTTCTGCATTGCATTTCCCCCTGAACTTGCTGCTTACAATCCATGGGTGGTGTACCTGGAACTGAGGTTAACACTTTCTGTATCTGATGAAGTGGACACGAAAATTCATGCCATTCACGCCATTAAAATGTGCTAAACTTCAAGGTGCCACTTGTTTGCTAAACAAAAAAAGGGTGTAAAGGGCAGCTTAACACCAGGCAACTAACCAAAAGGAAGTAGATCTTAGAGGTAGGGAGTGTCAGAGAATAATCTAGGGGAGAGTAGCCTTGAACAGTGTGCTAATATGGGGGGGGGCTGCATGATCAGATGCAAGAGAAGGCAGGGCTTCAGATGTGGTGGAATTATGACCACTGAATGTTGCAGCAGCGCACAACTGAAATCTTCTCTTTAATAATTTGCATCCCTCAGTTTTTAGCATATACCACTTGGTAATTTCCCCAAAGTACTTCTATAGTGTTGTAGATTCTGATAGTACTTTGTGACTAGGTTGTAGCCAGTGGTTTTTCACAGCATAATTACAATTATTGTGGGGGGTTTTGGTTTGTTTGTTTTTTAAAACAAGATTCAAGTGCCAGTGAGTATTTAATACTAAGGATGGACAGAACAATCCTATGGTCCAGGCATGTCACATGGCTACTATGCATGGGTAGGACCAGACAAAATAGTCATGACCCAGTTCTCACCTTGCAAAGTCAACAGGGTGTCAACACCTGCAGAAACCAATGCTAATATAGCAATCCCGGCAGACATTCCCACCACCATCCATCTTCTTCAAACTTTCACAGCTGGAAGTTGAAGTAGTGTGTGTGTGAAAGGGCTTTGTAAACATCTCTGCTACAGAGGTCTATGGCATCATGGTGACATCAGGTGATTGACAGTTGGGCTGCCTCACCTAGCACAGGGGGTATAAAGATCTGGTCCTTCCATGAGAAAAATTTCTCCGTCCCTGGTCTAAGGGGAAGGGAGGAGGACTTTGGCAAGCTTTAAGGGGAATGTAGGTTGGCAAGTTGTAAGGGTTGGAGACGACTTTGGTAAGGAGTGAGGGGACAGGATGGCTTTGGCAACAAGTAAGGAGATGGGTTTTGGGGGCAGAAGTTGGGGTTAGATGGGGCTGGCAGGCAAAGCAAAGTGAGCAGCAATGGCAGCCCCTAGTTAATGTTCATTTGGAGAAATGGGTGGGATAGATTTTTAAAACAACAACAACGGCCTGCCATTTTACACAGTTTGCAGTTGCTAAACTGTGGGTGTGTTAAACAGTTAAAGGATACAATGTCTTTATTTCCTCTTCCATCTATATTTGTATTTACAGATAGGATCAGTTTAATTTGAACTCGGTCTGTTCCATCTCACATCTAGATCTCCAGCTAATGAGAGACTGTGTATCAGAGGCCCCATCTGGCATTAATCCTTACAACAATAATGTGGAGAGTGGGGAGGGAAGTCTGATATGCTTAGGAATAGCCGCATAGACAGAAATAAACTAAGCAGACTGAAGGAAGCCAAATGAATATAAAATGATTTTGCTGACTGGGCATCAGATACCAAAAGATTCTCAGTTCAGAAACATGGCAAAAGAAACCCCTACAAAATTAAAAAGCCATGAAGCTGGCCTCCCAAGGGAGGCACTAGCACTTTCCAGGAGAGACACAACCTGCCAGTGTGTGCCTTGACCAAGACATGTGATGGAGTGTCACACACTCACCAGACTTGAAATAACTGTGAATGGACTGTGTGATCCATTTCACTGAGCACACTTTCTTCACTTGTCCTACACAGGATATCCTCTACTTAAAGAACCCCAGAGCAATGTTGAGCTCATCTTTTGAGCCAGGGCACATGTAACAACTAACTGGGTTTAGGCTTCAGCGGCAAGCTAAGAATTCTGCCTGCCCTGCACTCATCTGCCCCCCTTTGGCACCCACCTCTCCTCAGCTCCCCTTCATCTAGAGTCAGCATTATGGGGGACCATTTCCAGCCTAGATTAAAATGACTCTAGAAATGCTCCTTAATGACTTTGAGAACCAGGTACACTTACTTGGGAATAAACTTATTTAAGATGGGGGAAATACATCTGGGTCATTGGGTATGCCACTTAAGATCAATTTATTCTGTTTTATTTCATGTTTCATTTGTGATCCCAAGTAACTCACAGTCTTTTTAAAATTAAAAATGAAAATAGCTTCTGTAAGCAAATGAGAAGATTGGGTGTGGAAAGGTGAATCAAGCAATTTTACTTTGTTAGACCCAATTTTCAGGACACTTTTTATATATTAAGGAAAGTTCAGCTTTTTATCATACAGCATCAGTTGTTCCCAATCCTAGCCTGGTTTGCACATCATTTTAAACTATAGTTAAATGAAAGTACTGAGGCATACTGCTGAATTTTTAGGTGCTTCTCTGCTCCTACTATGCTTCTGGGAACTTAGCCATAGCCTGACTTAGAGGTATATCTGAACTCAGGTTTGTGGTGTCTTTCTTCAAACAAACCATGAGAAGTATCCAAGGTTTAGTTTTCATGGTCTGAGGAAAACAAACCACAAGCCCAGGTTTGGATGTAACACTAAGCCAGACTATGGCTTAGTTGACTGTGCAGCAGGAGTGGAGGAGGAGCGAAGCAGTCACAATATCAGCAGTGTGTGCCAGCCTGCTGCATGTTCACCTTTAGTTTTGTTTACCTGTGGTTTAAAGTCCCTCTAACCCGAAAGATCCAGGTTCAAATCCCCAGATAGTCACTATCAGCATAACCTACTTGCTGTGGGGATGAGAAGAGGGGAAAGGTTGAAGCACGTATGCCACCTTGAAATGTTGGTGCAATTGTGAGATAAAAATATAATTGACGGTGTTGACTAATTTTTGGTAGAAAGTGCATTGTACATTCATGCAAAGATGTGATGCCTGGATACTTTAGCCCGAACAGCAACCATATTGACTAATGTACTTATTTGAGCAAATGTAACGGGACGCGGGTGGCGCTGTGGGTAAAAGCCTCAGCGCCTAGGGCTTCCCGATCGAAAGGTCGGCGGTTCAAATCCCCGCGGCGGGGTGCGCTCCTGTTGTTCGGTCCCAGCGCCTGCCAACCTAGCAGTTCGAAAGCACTCCCGGGTGCAAGTAGATAAATAGGGACCGCTTACTGGCGGGAAGGTAAACGGCGTTTCCGTGTGCGGCTCTGGCTCGCCAGAGCAGCGATGTCACGCTGGCCACGTGACCCGGAAGTGTCTCCGGACAGCGCTGGCCCCCGGCCTCTTGAGTGAGATGGGCGCACAACCCTAGAGTCTGTCAAGACTGGCCCGTACGGCCAGGGGTACCTTTTTAATTACTTTAGCCAAACAAAAATCAATTGGATCCAAAACGGTTCATGTTCAAGAACTAAAAAAAGAACAACTTCCAGTCAGCTTTAAATTTTATGATAATATTTGCCTCTCAGTAATGCAAGTTTTTGTTGCAGACGAATAAGTATTATTTCAGGATCCAACTGAACTCAATAGAACAGTCACAATATGCAGGACAGTTGGAAATAAACATTCATTAAATAGCTAACATGGCCATACATATTTGAGCTTGGTACACAAATGAATTCAATCAAAATTACTGATTTATGCTGGTGCTGTTTTTCTGAAGCCAAAATAAATAATAATCAAAAATCCAAGGACTTTGGCTGCACTGGTCTATATATGTCAAACAATAGTGATAAAAAGCATAAGCACGTTATAAACTTACGTGTAAGTTTTATAAAAGCTTAATTTTCATGACTTCGCCCAAATAATTCTAGGAATCCATGGTAAAAGGGAATTATCATTAAACTAGTTTAAGGTTTAGATCTACATGGGAGTAAAACCCTCATAAACAGTGGGACTTACCTTCAGGGTAGACATGCATGGGATTGTGCATAACTTGTGTCAGACATGCCCTATCAAGAGTTTCTGAGAGAAATGTTCTGTTTCCCCCTATAGGAAAATTCCCAAAATGCAGCAGGTCTAGATGTCTCAGGGATGTGGAAGGTTCCTTTATCTTAAGAAAATGTGGACTGTAATGAAAACTACAATTACCTAGCATAGTGTTTATATAAAAAATATAGATTCATTTCATGTATAGACTATTAAAAGTTTTTTCCCCATTTCATTTGTCCACCAACAACCTAGAAGTGTTTGGGAAACTTTATATCTTAATCTCAAAGCATGACAGTTTTCATATCAGCTTGTCTCTTTTATATATGTCGAACATAAATATGGGTTGAAAAAAAAATTATGCAAAGCAGGAATCCCTGGAGCTTTTAATTTGTCACATTTCTTGTAGCACAGTCTTTCCCTCTGATGCTAAAAATTTCATTAACCCAAATTGTTTTATAAGTATAGTAGTAGATAAATATATGTGACTTCTGCTTCTCTCCCCCCCCCCCCAAAAAAACCCATGTCATCCATGGGCATGCATGGGTACAAGGAATGAAGAACTGCGGAATTGCTCATCTTTTAGAAACCAGTCTGAACGCTTTGTAGTCTAATTCCCAGACATATATCATGCTGCTTTCATTCCTTATTCCCTTCAAATATACTTTTCCTGCTGTTTTATTGTTTCCTTGCTAATCTGGTGTGCAGATTTCTAGCCTCTCTCTCTGTAACTGAATATGGAACACTATTTAAGTAACTACCAGCTTTAGATACCTCCCCACTCCAGGTCCTAAATCGAGAATGTGGAACTTGTTGTTCTCCAGATGTTTGGACTATAAAGCCCATTATCCCTTAACCATTGCCCGTGCTGGCTAGGGCTGATGCGAACTGTAGTCAAACAATATGTGGAACGCCACATGTTCCTCATCCCTCTCCTAAATTAAGAAACTTTTTTCAGGAGTCAGTTTCTCAGTGGTACATGTGAGAGCCACATGTGTGTGCTTTTCCCTCCTTAACAAAAACACTTCCTTTTCAACCATTTTCAGGCTGCAGTGAGATCACCATTTGTTTTACAGCATGAGGATGTGTGATGATTCACTGGCTTGTCTTCCCCAGTATATGTAATGCTAAGAGACAGTTGTATCTGCAGCCAGGGTTTTTGTTTTCTTTGCAAAATATGTAAGAGAACAGGGATCAAAAGGGCACTGGAGGAGAGTTGCTCTACCAGCTGGGCTGTGTCATTTTCAGCTTTGGGTATACCACTGTTATCCCCAAGGCAGAAACATACTGTGAAACACTCATGACTCACAAACTACCAAGGTTTTTGCAAAGAACTATTGCCCAACTCTTCTGAACATGTTGACATGCCAGTCACCAAAAGTTTGAAATCTGTTATAAGGCATAAATAAATCCTATGCTAGCAATTGTCAATACATGAAGTATGAAACAGAAGAAAGATCTGTTGATTTGGTCTGTTTCGGATGTGTTTCAAAACAGTTGCGCCCCGAGGCCCCCAAGCCCTTTCCCAAGTAAACAACTTCACACTGACACATAATTTTGGTTTAAGTTAATGGGCAAAATTTAGGCCACAACTTTATTGATTACAGCAAAGTGAGTGGTATTGGCTTAGGCATTGGCAACAGACTGTAACTGACTCCTGCCTCTCTGCCTGGTAGTCTGAAAGGGTAAGCACCAAACGAGGGAGCAACATCGATGAATATCAACCGAAGCTCACCCCAGGGTTCCTGTGGTCCTGGCATGGCCCTAGCCCCTCAAGCGGACTTCAGATGAGATCCAGGACCCCCCAGATTCCTTTACCCTTATTCATGGAGGGGCAGGTGATGGCCGCACCTCCCCTCCCACACACTTCGTTAAGCCAATGCCTAACCGCCAAACCGTGCCTCAGCCATGTTGTGCTGCTGCTTTTATAGGCCCTTACCAATCACGCCACCTGCACTGATTGGCTCAAATGGCCTGGTGTGATTGTGGGACCATACCGACAAGGCCTGGGCCATGCCCAGCACCTTCAACCTGGCGGTGGTTGTCTCAGGGGCCCATGTGCAACCAGGACCCTTGTTAAAGAGGATCCCATTTACTTATTTTTGTTTGTTTGTTTAAAATATTTCTAGTCTATTCTTCATTACTAAAATCAATCCAAATAATGAAAACCAAGTAGTGGGGTAGGAGAGCTGGAAAAAAGCACACATCTGGCAACCACTCTAAAAAGCCCAGGACACAAATTTTCATGTCCCTCTAGCAGCTACAGTGGCTCATTTATCAGAAGTAATGTATTTAGCATTAACTCTGGAAGTGTATACTCGATTCTGATCAAACTAAGCCTCCTAGAGCAGATATTCTGCCACTGAGCTATGACGCTTACCCACAAAACCACTTTTAGTTCTGTGTCAAGCAATGAAATTATGTTCATTTATTAAAAAAATCAGGATTGCAAGATACATGGCAGTGGAAGACTTACTATGTCATTATAATATGATAACTATATATGGAAATTACACGTTGCTGTCCTGCTACTGCTTATGTCAGGGGAAGTGCTGTAGGCACATAGTGGTCATTCTCCTTCCAAACTCAGTGGTGGAGGACACCTTCCTTGCTTAGCCACCCAAAACTTTGTCAATGAATTGGAGCCATTAAATTTGGATGAAAAAGCAAGCTTCATATAAATGCACTCCGTATAAATGCACTTTACTTTATACCATCAAAAAATTAATTTTATGCAAGGTTAGAGTGATAGTCAGTATTTCTCATAGGACTATATTGTTTTACCTTAAGCTCTAAATATAAGCAAGCAATTGAACAAAGCATAAGAGTTCTGTCCCTTTGCATGCTATGTACAAAAAGTTGATTTAAAGTCCATGTCCTTGAGCCTAATACAGCACCCTCGATGGTGATCTACTGCTAATGCAGACCACTTGGAAAAGACAAATTGTTTTCTACACTTGTAATTGCCCCTTAATTAAAGGTTAAGGACTGTCATTTGTACAGAGAAGGGGAGGAATTCTCGGTAGGAAACCCTGAATGGGACTTCTTTGACTACAAATGAGAAGTTCTCTGAGATGCTCTCTTTATTACTATGTGTTATCATGCTTAAGCATTTGTGCCATGTATTCACTAGTCACATTGCTGTGCCTCAGTTTACTCAGATGTAAAGGGAGATCAATGCCTAAATAGTAGAAGCACATTATAGTGGTTTGTTTGTTTTTAAAGGACTTTTGTGTTTGGCTTGCTGTGCATTGTGTGACTTGCCTCACTGCTTTAGTCATTTGGAACCATCTGCCTGCACACACATTTAGTTTCCACTTTATCTTCCTATGACATATCTGAGTCTCGAATCTGCTATCCCCAGTATTGTGCAGCTGGCAAGTATGTTCCTAGACCATGAGTGGGTCTCTGTAGCTCTCCAGATATTAATGAATGACAACTGCCATCATCCCTGATCAATGACCTTGCTGACTGGGGCTCATGGGAACTGAAGTCTAACAATGCTTGGAAAGATCATAGGCTGCCCACCCTACACCCTACACCCCACCCCCACAACCATGCACAGGAATGCCCCCTTTTAAAATTGTGAAATGTAGGATGGAATGCCAAACTAATCATTGTTTCTTTTCTTCCAAATACGTGATCAGAAAATGGACCTCGCCTCCTTGTGGAAGCAGATCAAACAAAAATCTTCTCACAACGGGGTGGCAATGTTACACTGCCATGTAAATTTTATCGTGACCATGGATCATCTGACTCGGGATCCCATAAAATTCGGGTCAAGTGGACCAAACTCACCTCAGATTACCTCAAGGAAGTGGATGTCTATGTTGAAATGGGATATCACAAAAAGAGCTATGGGAATTACCAAGGAAGAGTTTTCCTGAAGAAAAGCACTGAAAACGATGCCTCCCTTGTAATCACAAATATAATGCTGGAGGATTATGGGAAATACAAATGTGAAGTGATTGAAGGTTTAGAAGATGACACAACTGTCGTATCTCTGGACTTAGAAGGCAAGTAGTCCTGGAATTATTGGTTGTTGTTGTTGTTGTTGTTGTTGTTGTTGTTGTTGTCATATTTCTTATCCACCCTTCACCACTAATGTCCCGGGGCAGGTTAAAAATACAACATAATATAAAATACAATATAAAAATCAGGTGTGTGTGTGTGTGTGTGTGTGCGCGCGCGTGTGTGTGTGCGTATGTCTTCAGCTTATGGTGAATGCTATACAATGAAGATGGCAGACACACCTTTTGGAGACACTGTTTCACAGCTTACATACATAGAGCTCTTTAGAAAATTTACAACTGTAACTGCTGCTAAATCCCCCTACTTCCACACCAGTGTGCCAATGTATATCTAGAGCCCTGAACTGCCTACTTCAGAAATAATGTCTGCAAGGGGAGATATCATGAACTACATCACATGCAGTTTGGTTCTTAGTCAAGCAAGGTTATGTCACCTTCATTAACTGGCTTAGATCTAATGCAGCAAGAGATTTTGTAGGGATGCATTTGAAGTATGCCATTATGTACAAATATTCATGCTGCAACAATCCAGGTAATTTTGCAAGTGCCACAACATTCTTTGTCTTGCAGTTTGCAGGCTAACATGTCTGCTATTCTTATTTTATTTTTTTCTCTTAGAAAATATTAACTTTGAATCTGCTTCCCAATAAATAAATAAATAAATAAATAAATATCCACTAAAAGTTGACATGAAATTAAGGTGACTTATTTTATTTAAGCCATGAAATTATCTGTTGTCTTTAAAGAAACAGAAAAAAAAACCACACACACACAAACCCACAAGGAATTTAAGCAGCTACAAGTTCTCTGTACATGTTAATGTTGTGGCACATTTCATTTTCTGTTCTTTCAACACAAATTAGTTATAAATAATTTTAGTAATAGTTTTGGATTTGTTTGTGATGAAATCAAGTTTTGGTCTTGGTCTTGGTACATTTTTAAGGGAGTGTCTTTTTATTTGTGTGGTGAACTCAGCAATTACATGAAAGTGAGTTATTTCTCCCGCTTTGAGACTGGTCCACCAACTGCAACAAGGTGCGTTCAAGCCATAAACACGTTTAAGTTGCCACATAACTGACATTGAAGAATACATGATTGTGCACAAATGGCTTCTCTATATAATGCTTTTTAAAAATTATTTTTTCAGTCCGCTTCTGGTATCCATTCACATTTATCTCTGTGTTTTACTTTGTGTCCCTTCCAAAAGAGACTAAGGCTGCAAAGGCCCCAAAAAGCGATGAGATGGAAGCTGGTGGGCTTCTAAGAATAGTAAGCTTTCTTAGTCCCCTGCCATGCTCCCAAACCGCAGCATTATTTCGACATGCTTTCGAGCATGCTTAGACCTTACCCTCCTCATTACCTACAATTTCTAAAAGTTTGAAAAATCCAAAGCCCATAAATTCCTTCTGCCCTGCTGGTAGAGCCAGGTAGGATATTAAATGAGACAATCAAACCACATTTCTCCTAAGGCTTGCCCCTGAAGTCACCATATTTGAGATAAAAATGACCATAGGTTTATAAAAAAGCATATATATATAGCTGGTTTGATCAAGAAAAAAGGGCCTCATTCAATTATATGGCAATCATACTTTCCTCTCTTCTCTTTACATTCTACAGGAATGTTTAACTTCTTGCCATGGTTATGGAAATTTACACTTGAAAATGCAAAAGAGTCCCTTTAGAACAATTCAGCAAAGCATTATCTTTCTTTTAGAACAATTGAGTTTCTTTCCTACATGACACTTGCACACAGTCTTCAGTTGCCTGATGGAACAAGTGTAACCACTGATGAAACTGTGAATCAATAAGACAGTTGTCCCTAGATAATGGTCTTATTGGATGATGCTTGGCAGATTGACAAAAACATTTATTTCCAGGAATGTCTCTAAGCTGGACAAAACAGTTAATCATTCGTATGTAACTTCACTCAGAAGCCATATTTGTCATAATAATGACATCTACTCTCTGTTTCAAGGGGCTTCCTTCTCCTGGTGCTAATTTTTTGTTTGTAAGCTGCTTTATAGATCCTGGCTTTGCGAATTCCCTGAATTTGTAGATTCCCTGGGATAGCCTTGCAAGTAAAGCCATTGTGGTGCCCTCCAAATGGTGTTGGGCCACTGTTTCCACCATTCTTGACCAGGCCATGCTAGATGGGGCTAATGCGAGCTGTAGTCCAACAACATATAGTTATCATATCAACGAGGGGGGTGGGATCTTGTAGATACAGCACTAATAAAACTTCCAAGTTTGTTCTGGGATGGGAGAACCCTGGCAGAAGGAGGGATCATATCTTAGAGTTGGGGCACACGCTTATCATTCCGAAGGTCTCTGGTTCGGTCCTTGGCATCTCTAGCTAAGAGGATGATATAGCACTAAAGTGACAGAAATCCGCTAGAGACTGTGCAGAGCTGCTACCAGTCAGGGTAGATGATACTGGACAAATAGTTTTAAGGGGTTTAGGTCACCAGAAGAGCACATGCATTTCATACAGAAGGTCATGGAACCAAGCCCTAAAATCCTCAGGTAGGGCTGGGAAATATGAGCTGCTGCCAATTGGTGGAGAATGCCCTGGATCTGACTCTAAGGCAGTTTCCTCTTTTCCTGACCTTGCTACCTGAATGCAGCTGTGGGAGAGCAATGAATTATGGTGTGAGATTTTAAAAAATCACAGTATTACAGTAACATCAATTGGAAAAATGCTTGTTAGGCAAATATGCATGCCAGGTTAAGACTATGGTGGACTGCAGCAAGCTCTACTGTATCCCGTGTTGACTCTGGCTATGAGAAGTCTGACATTTTTGTTTAGACTAGCACCAAAGGAAGCCAATTTCTTTACTCTGGCTGAGGCTAGCCTCTTTTTTTTCCATGTGGACTTATGGTACAGGAAATTTAAGTCTCTCTGTAAATACAGACCAGTTATTCTTAAAACTGATCATTGACTACAGTGTTAACTCAGCAACTGCAGCACCCTTTGCAACTGTCACAGTTAAAATCCTAAATCTAAAATTTGTCCTTAGAAAATGGTATCTATCAAAGCATATTGATTTCCACAACACAGGCTTCTCACAATGCAGGGATCAATGTTAAGTGGATATCAGACGTCTCTATGTGACTGTTCTTTGCTCCAGAATATCTTCTGCCAGTATTTTGGAAGAAGTAAATGGATGTCACTGTATGCAGCTGGTAACCTGAGCCTCCAAATGAGAGAAAGATGGAATTACATGACTATGGGAAAAATAGCCTTTTCTGTTGGCTGGGTCTTCCAAGCTGAAGAGAAGTGTTCCTCAGCATTCAGATTTTGGCAGAGCTTTGGATAGGGCACATGAATATTTATTAGCTAAGTCTTTGGCTTAGCAGACCAATATTCATTCTATAGTGAAAAGCAGATGTTAGATATTGCTCTCCAGTGGTACCTAATAGCACTTCACTGTCAGAGAGACTCAGCTTATTTTTTTTAAAAGCACACATCTAAGAATGCTAGATCATTAACGTCAACACTGTGCTGAACAACTGCAATTAGTGATTTCTTGTACAATACACTGGTTGACCAGAAACATCAAGTGACAACAGCAGTTGGGAAAATGTTTTCATTTTATAGGTAAATAAGTTATACCCAATATATCTTATTTATCTATTTCTTCCCTTTGAAATACTGCTCTAAATAATCACCTTTTGAGCCTTAGTACCTTAGAGGCGTACTTGAAGAAGACTCAACAATTTCAGTTGGTCCAAAATACAGTGGCCAGATTACCAGCTGGTGCTGCTGTTAGAACCCATATCACCCCTATTCTAAAAGAACTCCATTTGGTGCCAGGCCAAATTTCCAGGCCCAATTCAAGATGCTTACAGTAATGTTTAAAGTCTCAAATTATTTAGGCCCCCCAAAATCTGAAAGATCACCTCCTTCCCTACAAACCATCCTGGGTGTTAAGTTCAGTAGAGGGCCCCTTTTTAGTTCCACCTCCATGGACAGCTATGAGTCTAAAATTACTCCCAGGTTGTGCACCTTGTCCTTCAGGGGCACAGGTACCCCATTCAGGACCAGGGAGTCCCACACACCTGCCTGCCCCCTGTCCCCCAAAACAGTACTTCTGCCTTGTCAGGATTCGACCTCAATCTGTTAGTCGCCATCCATCCTCCATCCTCCAACCACCTCCAGGCACTCACACAGGACACATTCACCACCTTCATTGGTCTGATTTAAAAGGGAGGTAGAGCTGGGTATCATCTGCATACTGATGAACACCCAACCCTACCCCCCTGGTGATCTCTTGCAGTGGCTTCATATAGATGTTAAAAAGCATGGGGGAGAGGACGGAACCCTGAGGCACCCCACAAGTGAGAGCCCAGACACTGGATTTATCTTTGTCATCCCATGTTTCAGCAGTTTTCCAAGGATGGTTTGAAAGCTTCAGCTGGCACAGAATGCTGTGACTCTTGTTTTAACAGGACTGAGTGACCTAACATTTCCCTTCTATTTTGGTTCAGCTGCCCTGGCTTCCCTTCTGGGTTGTTGCAAGTCTTAATATGTGTTGCTAGGTCTTAAAATGTCTTATTATTGATACATGTTTTTACAGTTTAATTTTTTTATTGCATTGTACATAATTTCAGATGCCATATTAAGGGCATAGAATAAGGAATATTGTAAATAAACAAATATACTTTGTAAATACAGAAATAGGCTTTGTTTTAATTTGAGCATCTTCAGAAAAATAGGCAGAATTTTTAAATGTAGACGTTGATTCCAGTACATAGGCTCTGCTTTCAGTTTGAATTAAATTTTCCTTTAAAGAAGGAAGTGGAGGAAGGTATCTTTCACAGAAATGCTGCAGACCTGTTTACTTGGGAAAGATGCCAGTTTGGCTTTTAGCCCTGAATATGAACTAACTATGCTTTGCAAAAATGTAACTAGAAAATTTTAAACAGTTACTGTGTAAATACGAATGCCTTGTTCCCACTGTACCGTTTAGAATATGGGCACAGAGTTAGTTAGCAATGTATTTTTCCTTTCTAACTCTTTGCACTTTAGTTTATTCTAAATTATTCTCAAGGGAGGGGGGGGGACTTCATGTGTATTTGTTTTAGATTGTTCTCTGCATTCCCACAATGCACTGCTGTGCATTTGACATAAGAAACTGCCCTAATATTGAGAATATAAGAACATTCAAAAAATTCTGGCTCAGGCGGAAAGGTCCATTTAGTTCAGGACCTTGGCAGGAATTCAACATTGCACTGAGGCGATCGTTTCGCCAGGACAAGCATGTTGGCTTGCCAAATGGAATGATCCTGTCTATTTTCAACCCCTGACCCCTGAGCCAATTTAAGGTGGGGGGGGAGTATGGTTTGCAGGGTGTGCATGTGCAGGGTTAGAAGAATAAGGGAAAGCCCCACTGAGCAAGCAGAAGCCGTTCTGCAGTGCTTCCACTGATGGGACTTGCTAGCTGAATCCTGCCCCTTGTATTGAAGAGTGCTTCACTCACCTGTTCAGCTAGGAAGCTCCAAAAAGGGCTTGCCCACCAGCATCTGGCATTGACTTCCCTCAATAAATCTTCATAAAAACAGTTTAAGGTCACAGTGGAGGGGAAAACCCAAGTAATCATTCTCCATCTAACCTACTTTTGATGCTAATCCAGCAGCAGAATGGTCACAGAGCCATAAGCTGGGAGCACACATGCACATGCCTTGGGGCTAAGCCATTGTTTGGTTTAGTGTGTGATGTGTGAACCAATAGACATCCAGTTGCTGTTCAGAGATACAGGTTTCATGTAGCTACAGTAGCAGAGCTAACAACCACTGATACATTTGCTCCATAGAGATGGTGCTGAAAGGTGCAACATGAAACAATGCTTTATGTGATAACTGTTCATTATGACCCATACCAAAGAACATGTTTGCCCAGTTCTCCATATGTTGTTGTTGTCGTCGTCTAAATGAAGCAGCCCCTCTGCCAACTTGATTTCCTTTGCTCTTCTGGATACTCCCTAGGTTTCTCCGTTTTGGTATGCTTGCTCTGTGGAGAATAGAATTGATCAATGAGGGTAGTGTTTCTAATTGGTGATGGCCCACACTTAAGAATAGCATGCGGGATTGGTGGCATTCCAGCAGGAAAGGGTGTGATTCTGTCTGAGAGAGAAGCCTTCTGTCTGCGGAGACAGGCAGAACTCTCAGACTAAACAGCTCATTCGCTGACAGCCAATATCTCCAGATATAAAACTTAACAGGTTGCTCTTTTGGCATCATATACATGTAACTCTCTCACCACCACAATCCTACACTTCCAGCAAATGTTCCTTGCACCTCTTCTGATGACATTCATGTGTGAACACACACATGTTTAAAATTACAGTTAAACCATTCATTTCACCCACTTCTATTTTATTTTCTCTCTCAGGCATTGTATTCCCTTACTTCCCACGACTGGGTCGTTACAACTTAAACTTCCACGAGGCTCAGCAAGCCTGCCTGGACCAAGATGCAGTTATCGCTTCGTTTGATCAGTTGTATGATGCGTGGAGAGCAGGCCTGGACTGGTGCAATGCTGGCTGGCTCAGCGACGGGTCAGTGCAATATCCCATTACGCATCCCAGGGAGCCTTGCGGTGGGAAGAATACAGTGCCTGGAATCCGGAATTATGGCTTCTCAAATAAAGATCAAAGTAGATACGATGTCTTCTGTTTTACATCCCATTTTAATGGTAAGGAATTTTGACTCCCTTTTCAAAGGGGCCCATTGGTGCTTTAGGGGGAAAGAATGACAAGCTGGAACAATTTATTACTCATTTTGGGAAAGGATCATAGCTCACTGGTAGAACACATGTTTCGCATGCAGAAGGTCACAGGTTCACTCTCTGGCATCTCTGGTTAAAATGATCAGGTAATGTTTGGTGGGAAAGGCCTCTGCTGGAGACCCTGGGGGTCAAGCTCTGTGTTATGGTTAATACACACTGCACAGCTATGCCTGTGATTTTTCTTAAATTAATTACAGCTGTAGGGGGCTCCAATTGTTATTGGCATGGCAGCATGCAGGGATGGAAGAGTTGGCACCATTGAGAACTTTTTTTGCTAAGCCTCCTAGCCTATGGGAGGGTGTTTTTGGGGGTGGGGGGATACAGCTGGAGAGAGAAGGAGTAAGCCTCCACTCCCTGCATGCTTCAATCCTGATAACAATCAAATAATCTGTAATTAATTTAAGGAGAACAAGAGGCACAGTCACACACTATGCATTAATTGTAGTGTGTAGTTTTTCATGAGAAACAGTGCCAGTGAGGTTCAACAATACTGGGCTTGGTGGATAAATAGTGTGATCTGATACCATTTTATTTTATTGAAATATTTCCATCCTAATGAGAACCTTCAGCTCAAAATTCAGGGGTGTGGTGTGAATGGGGCCATGAAATTAAAGGGTAGTTGTGTTTTTTGTCCAGTGCTAGAATACAATAATAAATGAACTTGCAAAGTCAACTGAATTGCTCTATATAGCCTGGAAATCACTGGTCTGTTTAGGAGGGGAGGGGAGGACCATCACACAACAGACTTCCCTCTTCAGCAACAACTTGGACTGTCTTGTGTTCCTCAAACACGGGCCTCTCCCATATGTCTTAACTTGTATGCATGTTGGGGAGCAGATGTTTGGCCTGTAGCCTGCGAGCTCAGAGATGCTCACATTCTCCGCTTACGCACGCTCTGGGTATTGACAATTAAATTTATTTGCCCTAAAACATGCAAAGAGCAAATACTTCTCTTGCTTTGAGCAATCCTGAGTTTGCTTTTCCAAAACAAATAGTCTTCAAAACCAGAGTTAAAACATTGTGCAAATGTTTACCTGATCCGGATCCAGCTAAATTGTTCCAGAAGGGGATGGTTAAGTTAATGCAAATAAATCCTGTGCCATGTAAGCAGTTTTATGCAGTTTGTAGAAAAGGGGATAAATAATAAACAAACAACCAGGCATGAAAAAGGGCTAGTCAGCCTTTGAATAATTGCAATGAAAAGTCATTTCACTCTGTAAGGTCTGGTTCCTTCATGCCCCTTCTTCATGTGCAGATATGTGAGCATGCTTGCATTATGTAATAGAACAAACTGCTTCCTTAGCATCTCAATTAAAAAACAACACCTTATGCACAGACATGGAAACAGGAAGACTATTAGAAAGAATATCATTAATTCTATAAACTTCTGCTGCCTTCCATCCGTAAGGCTAAAGGATGGGTGGTCCGGTATAGGAATTAAAAGGGTTGTAGACGGAACTAAATGTGAACACAATCTCTTCCATACCCTAAAAGTCAATTGAAGAAAGGGATTGTGTAGTTTCCCAATCCACACCCAATAAGGATTTTAAAAAGGCAGAGCATTAATTGAAGGAGAGCTGGGCACGGAACCTTAAAGTCTGGGCTTGTGCCTGGAAATTACAATGCAGAAGGAAATCTGGATGAGCCCCATGTCTGTTGCAGCAATATTAACAGAGCCCTGTGTCACTTAAAGACTAACAAATGTATTTATTATGGCACTGTTTTATCAAATGCATGAAGTAAATTGAGATTTCACTCCATGTAATGATAAAGTTAGCCTTAGTCCAAGGAAGCTCATGGTATAATAAATAAATGTGTTCATATTTATGGTAATGCAGTTTTTGCTGTGTAATATAGACATTTTGTAACCTTCATGGTTCATAGTTGCATGCCATATTTCATTTTTTAAAAAAACTTCAGTACATGGTGCATCACATAATATCAACACAAGCTTCTGGTTTGTGGCTATAGGTAAATACAACCCCACTGTTTATCAAAAGGCAATGTAATGTCCAGCACTATTAATGAGAGGCATTGTGCAACCGCTCTTACACAAACAACAGTAGTCACTTCAAGATTATATAGTGAGATCTGTTGAAAGCTGGCAAAAGAATAAGTAATTTTTCTATAAAAAGAGAACTGTAATTTTAACTTCATTGCTCAACAGTGATTGCTTTAAAGAACTGTAAAGGAAACGTATTATAACTTGTTCTTGATATTTTCTCTGCTTTCATTAGGCCGTTTTTACTACCTAATACACCCAACCAAGCTGACCTACGATGAAGCAGTACATGCCTGCCTCAAAGATGGTGCACAGATTGCTAAAGTAGGCCAAATGTTTGCAGCCTGGAAACTCCTGGGATACGACCGCTGTGATGCCGGCTGGCTGGCTGATGGCAGCGTCCGCTACCCCATCTCTAGGCCAAGGAAACGCTGCAGTCCTACTGAAGCAGCAGTCCGCTTTGTGGGCTTTCCCGATAAAAAGCACAAGCTCTATGGTGTCTACTGCTTTAGGTCATACCAGTGAATGTACCTAGAGCACAACAACATCCGATCCATCATGTGAAGGATTTTGTTTCAACGAACTCATGCAAGTTACCAAAACTGTGATAAATCTTTTTTACTTACTGTAAAGAGTCATTTTCATAAAAAAAAACCCCAACCTATTAATTTGTTTTGGTTATTTTTTAAAAAAACTATCATTCAATAGATATTTTAAATTAATATAATTTAAAGGAAGCTCTAGGTAAGGAAGTGCTTGAAGTGTAACTGTTTAAGCTACGTCATTCCAACAAAGCATATTTTTTCATGAATGGGGCATGCAATAGCTTGATGATTGCTAGGACTTAAGTTAAGGAATGTAAGGCTACTCAAAGCAGACACCTTTCCGAGTTTACATATTTGCATCATGTTAAAATAGAATAATGAGATCTGCAGGTCTGAACTACATTAATCTTTCCTTGACTGCCATGTGGTTTTGCGAGCAGTTAAATACAAAGATGTGAACACGAGTTAAAGTGACAGTGCTTTTTGAAGTCTGCAATACAAGAACTGCTTCACTATTTAAAACCCTGCCTTTTATCAAAACCTGCTCAATAATCTCATAACATTCCAACAAGCACAGCTAAATATTCTGAACGTCATTCCCAGTCTTATTGTGTATGTAGTAGGTAATCTGTGTATGAATAATTAAAGGATGGGCCCTACCTTCTTCTTAATGCAAACTAAATATGCCTGAGATGTATTGCATTACCTTTGAGTAGCTTTACGGAGAGGATTTCTTTTTCTTTTCTTTTTTTAACTCTAAAGGCCATTTTGCTAAGCAGCATTTACTCAGGGCAGTTATATATAAACGAACTGCTGGACAGAAAGAAACACAAATGTCTGAAATTTAGCAGCTTGATTCATGTTAGCTTTTAAAATAGTATTGTCTTTATAAATGAAGCATTTAAATATTTAATATTTCTTTCTTAGTTATACATGTGAAAGACAAACATTTGAATGAATCTTGAAACATATTTATCCACTCTATGATTACAAAAGAGAAAAAAACCTCTGATCCCAATTATGAAAGGGGAAGATATTTCTGTAATCAGTTCCCCATGTATATTCCAATTTGCGAATGTAGTTTTTCTTTGCATTTCCCTACTCATGGTAATGTCATGCCTATGGTGCTGTCTCTCCACTGAAGTGAAGGAGCAAAGAATCCCCATGCCCGCAAATGATCAGGAAGAATATTATCTACTTCACCCAGATAGTTATTTCTGACTCTCCAGCTGATCAGTATTCCGATTATGGGATATTAACCCCTGCTACAGAACCCAGGAAAAGTTACCTATTACATGATATTCCTGAGGGAAAGCATTAAAAGAGCAACAAATGCAACAGGGTGGGCAGACCTGCATAGAAGACAAAAATTAGTTCAGTTGAAACTAATGGGAAAAGTTAGTCATGATTAACTGAAGTCCCATGGCCTTCAATGGAACTTAAAAGTACAATTCTAAACATGTCTGCTGAAAAGTAAATCCCATTCCAGTTATTCCCAGATAAGCAGATTTAGGATTTCAGCCCAACTAGCTAGACAGTTGACAGAGAATCATTTTTTCAATAGTTACAGAGGCTTCATGCTTCTATATCAAGCACGGTTTCTTATTTGCCATGCAAGGTAGCCTTATAATATATGCCTGTGCTTTGATATACATATCACAGCATTCAAATACTTGTGAGCAGTGTAGTCAACTGATTGTAATCTTTACTGGTTTATTTGAAGGGACCAGATGTACTGATTGTGTCCCACATGGGCCATTCATTCGATGGAAGGCATAGAATGTCAAGTACTAGTTGGTGCCAATGTAATCATCTCAGGGCAATCTTACGTGGGTTTATAACTAAAATATGAGGAGGAGGAAGAAAATCAAAGGAAAGGGCATGTGCATGCATTGATTAAAACATAGTGCAATTGTCTCAAGATTCCTTGTTGTGCAGTTTTAATCAACGTGCAGATGTTCTGATGCTCACTGCAGAGGATCTGTACCCATGCAGAGTCTTGAACAAAGTCTGGAAATAAAACAGAATGGTGGGTCACTAATGCATTGGTGACACTCTGTAAGCAAGATCAGATGTAATTTGGAACCCCAAAATCTGGGAGAAATGTTGTAAGCATTCAAAGAATTTACTGAGTGGAAGAGCAGCTGCAATTCATTCATCAATTTGTGTTTAGAAAGTCTGACTTTTGAAGGTTTCTGTAATCTGGCCCAAGATGTTAGGAAGAAGGGGGAGAGGGCAACAATGGGATATATGGAGGAAGAGAAATGAAAAAAGAGATAATCACTAAAGAAGAAAAGAAAAGAAAGAAACGGAAAATCTGTTTCGCATCCTGCCTAATATGTTTTCCTTTTCAGGAAAATGCGGCAAAAATATGAGACGCTAAGAACTAATGGGATAAGAGTTTATAGTCTAAAGCAGCCACTACAACTCCCATCAGTCCCAGCTTGCACAGTTGGGATTTGTAGTCTAAAATATATGGAGGGCACCAGGTTGGGAAAGTCTGTTCTAAAGAAAACGGGAGTGAGAAAGTTTTCCATTGGCTAAAGGAAAATATATATTTCAGCAGTTGCTACATTGCACTTTGCCTTTTTTAGCACCCTGAGACTGTAATCCTATATCTACTTAACTGGAAGTAAGACCCATTTAACTAACTGGGATTCACTTTTTGAGTTGATATTATAGGATTGAGCTGTGAGGCACTTTTATTTGTAAAGAATGCAAGGTTAACCTTTGCAAAGTAGCAAGTCACTTTCCAAAGCTTCTCTCAGACATAGAATAATAATCGAAGCTATCAGAACAAAACAATGGTTGTTTTTAAAAAATGACATTCATCAGTTTACTGTTAAGACAAAGGGCATATACTACTCTTTCCTTGGAACCATGCTTGATCACATTAAAATGCGATTATATTCTGTAGTGTAGCACAACTGATATGCTTTCACAAATATTTCTGTGCAGTTTTTTTAAATAAATAAATCAGTTTCCTCATGAGCTGAAAGATCTATTAACTAGGTTATGCGGTATGAGTGTATTAGAGTATTGTGATATATTATGGTTCCAAACAAACTCATAATACCAAATGCATCTTTGCATGAATTTGAAAATATCTTTTTTTATAAAAAAAAGAATTGAAAATGTTAACATGTGTAAAAGCATAAGGTGAATGAAATTGCTTAATTTTCTTGAGAGTCAGTATTTCTAGAATGGGCTTACAGTGTAATTGTATTGGAGATTAATTTAAAATCCCCTCTACAAGTTTTACCCTTGATTTTGTGGTGCTGATTTATCTGGTTATGGTCATGGGATTGCACTGAAGAATAATTTTATCCCCATCCTTTTGTTATGGATTTTTGGACTTGGTTCAATTTGTTCTCAACACTGCTTTCCATTCTGCCACTTGTTCATATTAGGGTTTGGGGTTTTTCATTTTCTTCTGAAGGTAAGCCATGTGTACTAGTGATTGTGTACGTCAAAACTACACATTGCTTTTGCTTTGTAGCTGATGAAAAAATACAGCTATTTTAAGCTCCTTGATGTCCTTAATTATCAGTTGAGAAACACATATGGGGGAAAGAGATCACTCGGACAGCAGTGCATCCCTTTTATTTAATAATGAGATTGAGTAAACTAAAACATTAACCAGAAACTCTGTTTAACTTAAGTTAATGGGTGGGAATTTCTGTGTGCTTTAAAATACTTTAACAAAACAAAAACCCCAAGTCTATCAAATTCTTTAACTAGAAGGAACATCAACACATTTTTAAAACAATCATTTGCACACACCTTAGCTCCCATGTACTTGGAGGTAATTTCTTGACGGCTTTTGAGTCTGCATATTTCTTACTTACATTCAAACGCTGATCCCCTACCTGAATTCAAAAATGATACAATCCCACATTAAAAAACAAAACAACCTAGACTCTTGGGGAATCTGGGTTTCTGAGTTCAGCTCTTTTTAAAAAAGCTTCACTCATTTTATTTTTTAGCATAGGATAACCTGATCTGAACAATTTCTTCCAATATTGAGATACAACACTTTGAAAAACATGGGCCTTCTGGGTAGAATTCAACATCGCATTATTGCAAGTATTCTATCTGCACAAGCATCATAGCCTGACAGATGGAATGATCCCCCATTCTCCCATGTGCAACTGGGGATTTCAGTTGGATTCCCCAACCCCACTGATCTAATTTCAGTGTAGAGGCACATGGGAGGAGGAGAGGGATGCCATGTTATGTAAGTGAAAGCTTTTGCACAGGGATTCCACTGATAGGGTGAATCCCACCATCTGAATTTGAGTCTGGCCAAAAACAGCTGTATGTAGGATCTGATAACCTTACAGCACCTTAGCAGCACCCAAATCCTAAAGGCAACCAAATCCTAAAGCCAATATATCAGGACACACTGAAGGTAACTCTAGTGTATGCCCATAACAAGAAGGCTTTCCCTCAAGCTATTAGCACATCCCTGAACATGGCATGGGTAGAACCATGATTTTGAGGGTGGCATCCAAGCAAACAAGTGCAGCACCAGAGAAATATTAAAATGTGGCAAAGAGACAAGGCAAGAGTAAGCCATTCCAAAATAATTAAGGTCAATTTCATTTGAGCTCTACATTTACCGGTAGATACAGTTGCTGCAGCTTTCCAGCATTGCACCCAATTCAAATCGGTTTCTGTGCCTACATTATTAAAGACCTGATTCATTCATTTTCTCTCATATATTCTAACTGAAGTAAGAGTAGTTTCGAATCCCAAGTGATGCCATAGTGCTGGTATATAAGGCTGCAGAAAATAATTTCTTACATTGTAAGGAGTTAGGTGGGAAAATAATAAAATGTAAGCTCACAAAGAAAATCAATACAAAGTAAGCAGAAATGATTTTTTTATATATAGTTGCTAATATGAATATTAATACATGAGCTTTACAGCATTACTGGGACTTGCAGAGCATTCTTCTATGAGGAAATGGTGCTTCAACAGTGTCTGAAGGGAATGCTTAAGAACTGGTTTTATGTCGGTGCTACTGTTCTTGGAAAGAAAGAAACCACCCTCGATCATAATAAGAAATGAATTAATGCACTGTGTCATTTTATTGTATTTTCACAATGTATCTGAATTTTAATGTCCCCTCGTATGGCAACAATTAAATCATGTTGATCTTTTCAAAATGAGAACTTCTTTCTTTATAAGCAAAGCGTCTCTTTTATTCGTAAATAAATCTCTATCTGTGTCACTTGTCCCTCACAAGGACTTACGAGTGAGGGAAGGAATAAAAGTTAATATATTTTCAACTCTTTTTCTTCTTTGGTATCCAGAAAATTATTACAATAATCAAAATTCGGATCGAGGTGGAGCTAATACCATGATTTGAACCCTAGATATAACACAAATGTTTATCATCTGAACCCAAGCATAAACATTGGAATATTCTTAGTAGAACTGGATCCATTCAAACATCATCTTTATTACAGTCACAGACCAGCATGTTAAAATAGAAACACATAGTAATTTAGGAAATAAAACAGATAAAACAGGTAAAAGGAGTGACTCAAAGAAGGGAGGGGTGCGTGAGGGAGACTTAAAATCAGCTAGAGGGTTAAAAGCAAAGAGTTGCAAAAGTAACTATAGAAGGAAGGGTGCAAGAGAGGGAATGGGTCTTGCGTATAAGCCTTCAATTTAAGTCTGGTGCGAATGACCATCATAGCAGTGCAAAAACTGGCTGAGTATGTTACATCTAGGGACACGGGTGGCGCTGTGGGTAAAAGCCTCAGCGCCTAGGGCTTGCCGATCGAAAGGTCAGCGGTTCGAATCCCCGCGGCGGGGTGCGCTCCCGTTGTTCGGTCCCAGCACCTGCCAACCTAGCAGTTCGAAAGCACCCCCGGGTGCAAGTAGATAAATAGGGACCGCTTACTAGCGGGAAGGTAAATGGCGTTTCCGTGTGCGGCTCTGGCTCGCCAGAGCAGCAATGTCACGCTGGCCACGTGACCCGGAAGTGTCTGCGGACAGCGCTGGCCCCCGGCCTCTTGAGTGAGATGGGCGCACAACCCTAGAGTCTGTCAAGACTGGCCCGTACGGGCAGGGGTACCTTTACCTTTACCTTTTATGTTACATCTAGGTTTGCATCTTGAAGTAGCAAGGAGGTATAGAGTTGTTCTGTCTGTTCAGGGAATTTGTGTAGTATTGGCAGGATGAACCTGACTCTTATATCTGTATAATATTGGCAGTGGAAGAAGACATGGCCAGTAGTTTCTAGTTGCCCTGAGCCACGGGGACATTTTCTCTCCTCGTACGGTACATTTCTAAAACGGCCTTCCTAGATAGCTGGGAGGAGGTCCTGGCATCGGGCCAAAGTGAAGGCCCTTCACTGTTTTGGTATTTCTAGGTTGGTTATATATGGCATTTGGGAACTAAGGTATATTTTGGTTTCACAGATGAAAAAAATTGGGGATCTGGTTAGGTTTGCTTGTGTTCTATGTCTTCCATATGCTGTTTGATGGGGTTTTGTTTTTTTGGCTTTTTCATATCCCATGTCAAGTAAAATTTGTGAGATAAAACCTAGGGTTGTTATTTTGTTTAACACTTCTCATTTTCAAGTTGTTTGGAAGTCGTCCTTTATAGTTAGGAGAACAAGGTCACATGGGAAGAAGGATAGTCTAACCAGTAATTAAGTGTCACACTCTAGCCTCAATTCTTACAAGTCCAGTTTTTAGGTGTAGGGTTGCCTTGGAAACGTTTTTGGGCACTTGTAGGACTGATCTTTGAAATTTAGATTAGACCAGTTCCAGTGTTGTGCAGTTGGGGGGAGTACCAGTTGAGCAGGGATGCGGGTGGCACTGTGGGTTAAACCACAGAGCCTAGGACTTGCCGATCAGAAGGTCGGCGGTTCAAATCCCCGCGATAAGGTGAGCTCCCGTTCTTTGGTCCCTGCTCCTGCCAACCTAGCAGTTCAAAAGCACGTCAAAGTGCAAGTAGATAAATAGGTACTGCTCCAGTGGGAAGGTAAACGGCGTTTCCGGGTGCTGCTCTGGTTCGCCAGAAGCGGCTTAGTCATGCTGGCCACATGACCCGGAAGCTGTCTGCGGACAAATGCCGGCTCCCTCGGCCTATAGAGCGAGATGTGCGTGAAACCCCAGAGTCGGTCACGACTGGACCTAATGATCAGGGGTCCCTTTACCTTTACCAGTTGAGCACCATATAGCAGCTGTGCAATGGACTTTGCCTTAAACAATTTGAGGGTTGCAGGTATGAAGTGGCCACCTTTGGACCTGAGATATTTAAGTATGGCTTTTGCACTTCTCTGGGCATTCCCTGCAACATAGTCCCCGTGGGCTTTTCTGCTTCCCGAGGAATGAAGGGCTGTGCCAGGGTATTTGAAGCAGGTGACCTGCTCAATCTTTTGGCCACCCATGTACCATGATCGAGATTTGGGCTTTTTGGCAAATACAGTGATTTTGGTTTTCTGGTAATTAAGTTCTAGTTTGTTCTCCTTGTGGTATGCTGCCAGTGTTTTCATGGCTCATTGGTGTTACCAATGGAACAATTAATCTGTGTTGGTTTTTTCCTTTCCTTTCCTATTATTGCACAATATGGTTGACCCTCAGATCTCTATCTCAGAATCAGTTTGCCCGGAAACTACATAGGGATGACATTATTTAAAATGATTGTAAGGATTTCTCATTTTGCATTTTTATGTTGTGAACCACTCTGTGGTCTTCCACTGAAGGGTGGCATACAAATTCAATTTAAAAAAGAAGAAGAAGAGGAATGGCTTTGTTGCAGTGTTTACACTTTTCCACTTCTCCCAAACCTAAGAAGATATCTGAGATTTGACTGAAATATAGTTCACAATGGTAACTAAATCTCCAAAAGTAATAGCGGGCGTCTCAAAGCACATTGCTAGGCTGACATCCCTAGGCAAGGTATTCAATCTCTCTAAGGAACAGAATTGATACATTTTATTCATTCTCTCTACAAATAACAGACTCACAAATATTAATGTTTATTTACATTTTGCAAGCATGCATTTATTAACACAACTTTTATTTTTGCTACCTGCCATTACAGAGCCTTCTCTGAATTCAGTGTTGAAATACTGCAATATCCCACAGCAAGTGTGAGTCATTGACATTTAGACTGATAGAGGCTCCTATTAATGAAGCCATTCTTCACTTTACTGGGATGCTTCATACATTATTTCTCAGTAATAAAAAGATTTATTGGCAATTGCTAAAAGTAAATTGCAGCAGGAAAGGTTATGTGGATCAAATATTTGTTCTTGAGCATTCGTTAATTTATTTGTTTATATGTTCAACTGTATACAAAGAACCAAGCCATGGCATAGCACAATTCATTTTACATGAAGGGTTTTATTGCGTAACAAGACCTCAAATGCAAGACTTTATGGAAACTGAAAACAAATCATGCTCAAACTATCTAGCTGGGGATTGGCTGGGTAATGGAATACTTGAATTGAGACAATCTGTTGCTAGAAAAGAAGCATTGAAAAAGGAAGACTCTCTCCTAGGTATTTTCTCTCCCTCTTCCCCACTCACTAAGGATCTTTCCGCACTTACCATGTATAGTGGTATACTGTAGTTTCTTCCATCCCACCACACCCATGATGCTACACAGTGACATTATTCACCTGTTGTACCAGAATAATGTACTCAAAAACCCACTTTTTCTTCTACTAAAAAAAAATCTGATATTTAGGAAAGATCCAGAATGGTTCTTTTGTGGGACATGTGTATCATCCAATCTCTGTGTGGAGGGGTTGGGAGTTGGTGGGCACGGTTTGGGAGACATGTTTCACACTTCTTTGTCAGTTTGTGAGATTAGAACAAAGGGCAGAAATGACAGGTGAAAACCATAGCTGTCAAGTGTCCCTTATTTGAAGGGACAGTCCCTTATTCCAGCGCCATGTCCCGCTGCTGTCCCTTATTGATAGATGTCCCTTAAAATGTCCCTTAAATGATGTCCCTTAAATTTCAAAGGAAGCAGCTGCTCTCCCTCCCTCCCTCCCTGCTGGCCAGGGAGGAAGGAGGCTCCAACTGTGTTGCTTGGCTGTGTTGCTCACCCAATAAGAAGTCTAAGAACGACTGGGGGGTGGAGCTTGCATGCCTTGTGTGTGGCTAGTTAATGCAAGCTGAGGGGTTTTTTGAATGCTGGATGCCATTTTGTTGCATGTGCTGCTGCAAACTTTGCAGTGCAAAGCCAGGCCAGGGAGCAATCTTAAGTTGAGGCTGCATAGGCCTTGTGGTGCATGTGATTCAGATTCTATTCAGTTGAACCTCTGGTTACAAAGTTGGTTGGACAGTGTTCTCGAAGCTACCAGCATGAGTTTGACCAGACTGCAGGAGGACAGGAAGACTGGAGTGCCTGGAACAGGTGAGGCTGCAGGTCCCTTATTTTCAAGGCTGCTGGTCCCTTATTTTCAAATCTGTAAGTTGACAGCTATGGTGAAAACTATAATACTGAGTCAAAGTACTACCCATGATACCATTAGCTGCAGACACAATTTCATCACAATAACCAGGTTTACCATAGCTCAAGCAGACATGTAGTTCCTATTCTAATCTGGCCTCCCACAAGAATAGAATTTTGGAACACTAGGCATTAAAAACAACAACAACAACCCACAAAGGGGCAATTTTCATGTGCATGCTCATAACTCTGATAGTTAATGACTGGAAGAACATGAGGGTATGTAAAGGTGTGACTACAGCTACAGCAGACCCTCCAAGTGTCCCTATTTTCCAGGGACAGTCTCAGATTTACAGAAGCTGTTCTGGGACTCAGCTACACAGTTGCAAATAGAACCTTTTAAGTGTGTTTTAAATGAAATACACAATGTGATGGCGATGGTGAGCCTTATGGAAAATTCAAGGTATTTTTAAAAATGCTTTTTTTAAAATAAATAAAAAAGCATTTTCAGAATGGTTTTTATATGTGTGTAGATTTCACCCTGGTGTCTGATTTGATCCCACTTTTCTTTAGGATGTCCCTATTTCCTTTGGAGAAATGTTGGAGGGTATGGTAGGATATCCCTATTTTCATTGGAGAAATGTTGGGGGGGGACATTTCATACCCTCCAAATGTTGGAGGGAATGCTACAGAACTCTTCTCATTTTGGACACAACCCACCATTAGTACACAAAAGAAAACCCCACAC